CAGCTTACAAGTAAAGCTGAATTAGCTCATCACTTACTACAGATGGAGTAAGAACACCAAGATCAGTAAAGAGCAGAGTTAAGTACTGAGGAGGAGTGTAGTCTCTAGCAGATCTTTCTACCTCGACCTTAGGAGGAACAGGAACATCGAAATCAATAGGTCGCAAGGCCGGTTCTAAGTCCTTTTGATCCAACGGGTAAAGCCGAGCAAACTGCAACGGTAACAAGAAATAGTGAATCAAATAGTGTTTCTGCAACCAAATTGAAAAAAGTTAAAAAGTTTTTGAGTGTGTATTACCTTGTAACTCTCTGCAGCTACGTAGACCGGTTTGTTCATACTGTGTGCGATGAGTGCAATTTGGTAAGTACCCATCATGTTAATTACGCCGCCACTCTCAACTACTCCGTCAGCTCCAACAAACACCATGTCTACTTCATCCATGCTATAAGCCACAGCTGAATCTATCAGAAGCTTCACTGGAACATCAAGCTTTGCGAGCTCGTTAGCTAGCAGTACTCCGGTTTTATCTGGCCTTCCCTCTGGATTTGCCACAATCACAACGATAATATAATATCCGGTTAGGAAAATCAGACTGAAATACAAAAAATGACAAAACCAAATCGATCAATCTCAAATAACGGAAGAGAAGAAAGGGCACCTGTGCACAAAACTCGAAAGAGTTTCTTGTTTTGCGCTGCTGTCTTCAGTATTTCGAATACAACTCTGGAGAATCCATGGACAAGTATAGTACACCCATCAAAGATGAAATCTTGACTAAGCATTGCAATTATCTTTCGGGCCTGCAAAAAATGCATCACGATTCAAAATCATCTTCTAGCTACTACTATATCTATATATGTATGCAATTGCCATTCTAAAAACCACTGACCTTGTAAGATATTTCCCCAAATTTCTCAGCGCGTTCAAGCACACGAGATTTCGCTGAGTTAAAGTCCTCAAATTCCAAAGCAGATGTTCGAGTCACGTAGCGCATGAACAGATCACATCCCGCTGTTAAGGATATAGAAGTTGTATCCCATGCCTAAAGGATCAAGACAAAACTCACATTTTCAGAATTCTACATTGAAACTTACCGAAAGCTTTGCAGGAGTACAAGACTTAACACTCAGGACTACAGAATCCATCTCTAAACACACATAATATTTAAAAGTGTAGTAGCAAAAGCACAAGTCCAAAAAAGACAAAAACATTTTATCTATCTTGCTCTTTAGAGCAACCAAAGAGTCTTTCAAGTCGAATTCACAATGCTACAAATTCTTATCTATGTTCAATACGATGCCACAATCAGATTTACCAATTACGCCTCAAGGTAAACAAGTAGGGGATAAATTTAAATTACTGAATACACAAAAACTAACATGCAAACCAACAAGATTATCCTCAAAAGATTGAAACGAAGACTGAATATGCAATAACAACAGTGAGTAAGTCAAATATCAAAACCAAAATTCTCATCTCCAAAGAGACAGAATATTTCAAAGAAGTGTATCAGATTAATCAAGTTACCGACAAAACTTTTCGACCTATCTTTTTCCCTTTAGAGCCCACCAGAGAGTCTTAACGATAAAGAAACTCACAAAAAGCCAAAGTAGAATTCACAAATCACAACCCTACAAAGTTCTTATCCATGTTCAATCCAATCCCACAATCACATCTACCAATTATGCCTCAAGCTAAACCTAGTAGAGCATGAAGATCACTACTCAATACTCAAATCTAACTTACAAACCAAAGATCGAACACAAATTACCAAACAAAGAAGAAACATTCTTACTTTGAGATTCAGGAGTACAAGACTCGACATTCAGGACAGGACTATCAAATCCATCTCTAAACAGACACAATATTAGAAGAATTATAGTAGCATCACAACAGAAGTAAATCACAACCAGAAAACACACCATTACAATATCGAAAAAGATAAAACTTTTTCACCTATCTTGCTCTTTAGAGCCACCAAAGAGTCTTGCCAAGTATAATTCACAAAGCTGCAAGTTCTTATCTATGTTTAATACAAAGCTGCAAGTTCTTATATATGTTTAATACAATTATACCTCCAGGTAAACCAGTAGGGCATGAAGATACATTACTGAATACACAAAGCTAACTTGCAAACCAACTAGATTATTCTCAAAAGATTGAAGCCAATACTAAATACGGAATAACAACAGCAAGTACGTCAAATATCAAACCCAAATTTTCATCTCCAAAGAGACAAAATATTTCAAAGAAGTGTATCAGATTCATCAAGATATCCAAAAAGACAAAAAATTTCGACCCATCTTTTTCCCTTTAGATCCCACCAGAGAGTCTTAACGACAAAGA